TGCGGGGTGGCCGGGTCGATCCGGGCGGGCCGGACGAGGCAGCTCGGCCTCCTCCAAACGGAGGCCGCTTGAGGTCCCCGTGGGGTTGGGGACATGTCGCGTGGACGGGGACCGCGGGGAAGCGGCCGTGTTGTCCCAGGCTAAAGCCACGCCTCTTGGGTCGTTTAGGGTCCCGGCAGCTGGGGACACCGTCCGGTCCCGGGGCCGACAGCGGGGACCCCAAGCTCTGTGACTGTCACCCCTCCAGTCCTTTCTTTTTTGTTTTTTAATTTTTTTTTGAGACAGAGTCTCGCTCTGTCTGCCGGGCTGGAGTGAGCGCCGTGGCCTCAGCCTCGCTCACAGCAGCCTCCGACTCCTGGCCTCGAGCGGGCCTCCTGCCTCGGCCTCCCTCCCGAGTAGCTGGGTCGACCAGGCACGCGCCTCCACGCCCGGCTTGGAAGCTGGAAAGAAGTTTGCAAGCAACGTGAGCTAACGGCCTCGTTTTGCTGGGACCCGGACAAGGTGACAGGATTGCCGGAGGGACAGGAGTTAGTGCGAGGAAGAGATCCCTCTGAGAGCCATTAAGAAGGAAGGTGGCCGGGCGCGGAGGCTCACGCCTGTCATCCCAGCACTCTGGGAGGCCGGAGGGAGGATCGCTCGAGGTCAGGAGTCAGTCGGAGGCCAGCCTGAGCAAGAGCGAGACACTCTCTACTAAAAAAATAGAAAGAAATTAATTGGCCAATATAAAATATATTTAAAAAAAAAAAAATGAAGCCGGGCGTGTGTGCATGCCTGGAGTCCCAGCTACTCGGGAGGGAGGCCGAGGCAGGAGGATCGCTCGAGGCCAGGAGTTGGAGGCCAGCCTGAGCGAGAGCGAGACCCCGTCTCTACTAAAATAGGATGAGCTGGACAACTAAAAAAATATATTTAAGAAAAAATGAGCCGGGCGTGGTGGCGCGTGCCTGTAGTCCCAGCTACTGGGGAGGGAGGCCGAGGCAGGAGGCTGGCTCGAGGCCAGGAGTTGGAGGCTGCTGTGAGCGAGGCTGACGCCACACGCGCTCCAGCCCGGCGACAAAGCGAGACTCTGTCCCAAAAATAAAAAAAGCAAAATGGATACACAAAGCTGAGAAGCGGGACCAGGAATTGGGAGGATTGCAGGCAGGAACTCTGGGCGGGCCTCCACCCCCAGCCTCCCCGCCCACCTCCGTCCCCTGCTGCCCTGTGCGGCTTTCGCGAGTTCCGCTCTGTGGTTTCCCCGTCCTCCGAGTCCCGCGCACGTGGCTTTGGTCTCTTTGTCATCCCCGGGCCACCGCGATGACTTCCTCTTTTGTGGCCTCCATTGCCTCTCGACCTCGCTTCTA